AAACAAGTGATATACGAGTACACTCTGTAAACACTAGGAACAAACACAAGCTAATCATAACAGGTTGTCGACTCCACAGAGTCAGTAATTAATTCTTGGGGCAATGTATACACTGTTACAACAAAGTTCTAGAAAGTATATAAGGTCTCTTTATTACCAAGTTTAAATATTTTATTTAAAAAAACTGTATAAAAAGGATTATTATAATATAAATGAAATGGTTGATAATAACCCTTGGGAATCAGGTGATCGCTTCCAAGCTGTTTCTAAAATATTTTTTTTAAATAGTTTGTACAATCATTCATATTATAAAATTTAGTTTAAAAAAATTCCGACTGGGTTTCTTGCTGTTTCTACCCAGGCTAGAGGTTTTTTTCCGAACCAGTGGTAAAGTAAAAAATGGCTTTCAATAAGAATTACATGTGATCTATATTAAATAAAAATTATTCTATTCTATTCGATTCCGTTCCATTTCATTCCATTCCATCCTATTCTATTCCAATCTATTCTACTCTATTCTATTGAAAAGGTAATTTTTTTAATAAAAGGTATAACCCAACTTCAAAGAACTAAAATGATTAAATATTTTCCACACTGTAGCTTCTAGAGGCGATGCTTTTATTCTTCTATACACTTTATCTTAGCAACAACTTCAGAAGCTATTTTGTTGAAATTTGGAGTTGACTTTTCCTTTTTATCAAAAGAAATGAAATTTTTAGCTTTTTGATTCATGACAATATCGAGATATCGAATTAAAATCCTCGGCTCTTTAGTATTGAAATGTACACCATCTTAACGATTACGCAACTTGGCCTAAGACTTAACTTACATAATCATTACATAATAATAATTTTTGAGAAGAATGAAATTTGTTTATTTACCTAGTCAGGTCATAAATTCTGTCACATGTTTAATAGAAAATAATTGAAACAAGTTTATTCATTATGTAACCATTTATATACCACAATGAACTTAACAAAACATAGATTCTTATGACACTAAAGTTTATTCAAAATGACCTCCGTGATTTTGAATACAGGCCTTCATTCTGCGCGGCCAGTCGTCTATCGCAGCACGAACGAGGTCCATGTGAATATCGGCGGCTGCCTTAATCAAGGATGTCTTGAGTGACTCCAAATTGGGATGAGGCTTTGAGCACGCCTTTTCCTCCAAGTGTTGCCATATCTTGTAATCTAACGGATTCAAATCTGGACTGGAGGAGGGCCATTCTTCGTGCCGGATGAAGTCGATTTCACGCGCCACCAGCCAGTCTTGTTCTCTTCGCTCTATGAGCTGGCGCCGAATCTTGTTGGAATACACAGTGCCTGTTATTGAACATGGTATGAGAAACAGGTTCCCCAAGGTTCGTCAGGACTGTATTTTGATACACAACTGCTTCGTTTTTACACCTTTCTCACAAAAATGTACCTCTGTTAAGCCCCAATAAGAAACTCCCAACCATACCATGAGCGAGGATGGAAAATGACCTCGTTGGACACGCGGAATACGGTTGCTCGCTTCTTCACTACTGTGTGTGTACACCTTATCTTTTTGTATGTTGTAGCTCTCTTCTACGGTAAAATTTTTTTCATCCGAAAAAAGAATTTCCCGATATTTTTTTCCCGCGTACCGCTTCAACAAAGCGCGGCATCTCTTCAGTCTCAGGTCCATTAGACGAGCATTCAAAAGATGTCCTATTTTTCTTCGAAATGCCCGAAACCCTAAGTCTTCATTTAACTCCCTTTTTACCGTGGTTCTGCTTAACCTCATCTGAAGGGCCAACAGTTTCTGCTTACGTTTGGGATTTCTTTGAATTCGTGCCTTCACAGCTTTTATCACTGCTGGAGTCCTAACAGACCGAGGGCGACCACTTCTTCTTCTTGACCTGTCATCTACACGAGAGTCTTCATTGTATCGTTTGATGGTACGATAAACGAATCTTTTGGTTATATTAAAATTATTCAGTATGTCAAAAATTTGAATTGGCGCGTATCGCAACGATGCAACGCAATAACTGCAACACGGTCTTCTTTAAGCGTCCACTCCATATTTAAAAATGAGTAAAATTCTAAAAAGTATACAGTTTTATTTTCATGAACAATTCGAAATTCGAATTCAAGAAACTTTTTTGTGGCCAGCATTCTAAAAGAAAAGTTTTTACTGTGTGACAATACTTATGACCTGACTAGGTATATTTTAAAAACTTCACTTTTCTTTATATACATTACAAATTCTGAAATATCTGTGTTAAGCGTTAACTTAAGCGAAAAGTGTGGAATCGTTACTGAAAGAGTAAAAATACTCATTACTCGAAATATGTAATAAAAGTAATTATTCATATTATAAACATTACTAATTCTATATTCTAAACTTTACTAAGTTTTTTTTTAGATAATGAATTTAAAAAATATCTTAATAATATAAATAAATAATTTACAAGAGCGTATCTCGAAGGTATTAAACAAATACGAAGTGATATAATGCGCATATAAGAATGGCTAAATTCAATGCTCACGAAGTTTAAACAGTGTTGACGTTAGTCCAACAACAAATACGAAAGCAGTTCTGACTTGGACATATTCATTCTAAATTGTATTTCGTCGTTCAATAGTTGGAACTTTTATAACATAAAAAGTTGATTTTGTGTCAATTTAAGTAATACATTACTTCGTAGAGATTGAAATTTTAGAATTTTCGGGCTGTGACTGTGTTTTTTCTGTTTCTTTTCCGTTTTTTATGAACTCTTTTAAACTATGGATTCTCTTTCCATGCTTTCTCCTTCAAATATGGTAGGTAGAAGAGGTTGTATAAGGAAAAAATAGATGAAAATTATTTTATCTCTAGCGAGAGGCTTTAATACAACGCTACACCGCACTAATATTTATTTCTTCCATTTTCTTTATAACTTAACGATTGCTTAGGGGCTTCTAACATAAGCCCGCTTAATTGCAGCTATATTTGCTTGTATTATTTTAGTTAATAAATACTATTATAACATACAGCAAGGTATATTAAATAAATATAATAAATATACATATAATTATTTAGTATTGTTCATTACATTATTTAGTATTATAACCACCAAGTTTTAACTGGAATATTGTTGAACAAAATATCATAATAGAATTCAATTTAATCATACGCTAACAACAAATACAAAACTGTGTAGGAAAATTAGATATTTTTGCGTTGGGATAGTCTAGTAAAGTAGAACACTTGTCCACTTTATAAATAAATATTACCGAATAAAGTGCGATGCGAGAATATAAATTTAACTTTAAAATAAGGCAAACAAATGTGTGTAAAAAAATCTCCTTTGAGTATGAAAGGATATCCCCGTGTCGCACTTTGCAAATATTTGCAAATAACAAAAGTAATATAGTTTATTATTGAATGATTAGCAAATATAGTCATTAGTCACCCTTATAGAAAGGAACTTTAGTCAAACTAGTACTTGACTAAAGGCTTAAGCATTGGTTATTTTGTTTTAAATTTGCATACTTAGTTTAAAAATATTGTTTTTATATATATATATACATTCAAAAGATTGTCGCACGTAATAATTTTTCTCTATTTTTCAACAAAGGAATAGAGAATTTACTATTCAAATTTAAAAATCACCTGCGTCAATCCCCTTATGTTAACTCTTTCATTAAATTTAATCCAACCGTACTGCAATTAAGTTTCAACAAATCCAAGATCTGAGGAAGTACGTATTTTTGTACACTTTTTGCAACTATATCGTGTGATTTTACACATTTAAATTGAGAAGCAGCTTATGATTTCCATGATTGCACTTGCACTTATTTCTTTTGGTTACCTTGTCATTAAATTACAGATAGTAAATATTAATTAAATCTCATCATTTGCGTGACTTTTCATGATATTGTACAAGTAGCTGTAATGTTCTTGTTTAATTTAAACATTAAGTTTTATACAACTATTATTATTTGGCATGATTTAAATGCGTAAAGAAATTACTTATGAAAAATTACTGTCTGATGAATGGATAAAAAGTTAAAAAGTAATGTCTGACTGGAATTTTAATTCCGTCTCAAACATAAGAATAATTTCATTATCATTAATTGGCTATTTGATAATTACTTTGTAAAAATATTCAGTAATCAAAACACTTAGTAGCCAGATTGTAGTGGCAAAAATATGTCACACATTTGATCCGTTTCCCAATCACTGAAGCAGTTAACACAGCGCATTTAATTAAATAATATTCTTTCATCAATAATCTTGATTCCTATGAGGACGAAAATATGAAAAACTAGTAAATTTTCTCCCCATCCGTAAAAATTTACACAACGCAAAAATGGTTTTGGAACGGGTTTTGAAAGATTCGACTCGATTTGAAAATGTAACTGTCTCATTTTATCCTTGAAATCTTTAAAATTTTTAATACCAGCTACTTCAATAATTTAAATAAAATGATATTTTAAATTCCCGAAGGCATACTCACAAGCGTAAATCGAGATTTAATTAAAATTATCTAACTACACGCGAGGTAAATCCTAGTTCATTTAAATTCAGATTTTGGTTTTGTTTTCAATATTTTTATAGTTATTGTTATATAATTATTTGCCTACACAATTTACTACAATTATAACTTACTAACTTACATAATATATTTACAAGCTTCTTATATTTTAGCGTTAGTTACCTATAGTGCATCAATCGTATTAATACACCTAAAAATATCAGAAAATATGCTTGTATTAGTTTTGAAATGGAAATAAGTATTTAAATTATATTTAAGTAATCTCAATGTAATTTTAGTTAAAAATAATTCTCAATTTATTTACTATTATGCCATGAATAGATTTAATTATTAAAATGGAATAATATATTATAGTCAAGTTTCATTTCAACATACCAATAAAAATATTTAAAATATGCCAATCGAAGTACGACTGGTGCACTATAGCGAAATAAAAATAACCTAACAGTCCATTGTGACACCACTTTAAAGTGTTTCCACTCTGGACTGACAGATGGCGTTCCTGCAGAACCGCTCCATTTCTCTGGTGGACATGTACATCGACAACTCGGAGCCATCGGAGAACGTCGGGCAAATACATTTCTCGCTGGAGTACGACTTCCAGAATACAACCCTGATATTAAAAATTATACAGGTAACATATATTATTCTTGCCTCGACATTAAGCAGCATCGGAGAAAATCTACTGCATAACGTACTAATCATATCTTCGTCTATTTTTTTTTAAATTTCAAACTTTTATGTAACAAATATAATTATTAAACTTGTTCATTGTTTAATGTAAAGTTGAAATAGCTATAACAGCATATTTATTCCATTTATAAAAAAAAATCTGTATTTAAGATGTGCACATCGTTTTAGGAATAACCGTAGGTCATAGATTACCTCCCCGTAGGTACTTACCGTGCTTACATCTGGGTATGGTTTTGATAACGTAACCATATGATTTTAATAACGGTATAAACATAAATATACATGGTATAAAACAAAATATTATTTGTAATCAAGACGTTAGCTACGTAAATAGCAACGCGTAACCGTTCAAATCAGATGTCAATTGTTATCGCAAATAAATTCACTACTTCATCAATGCCGATCCCAAAGTAATCATGTTTCTGTAACATGAAACACCTATTTGCAAGCTTTTTTATAATGAAATTTTTATTTAAATTAACAAAATAATTATGTTTTCAATGAGAAATTAAATTAATGTGCGTTTTACAGTTGATTTAAATTTTGAAAGCGCCTGTAAGGATTAATCAGGAAGATCGACGTGTGATTTAGAATTTGACCATAGTTTATTTATTTTTATTCGTTCACAATTTTTTTACTTCTTTATATAAATAGTTTGCTTTAGACTAGCTGCAACACTTTACAAAATTTATAAATGGATAAATATGAACGATAAAAAATATATATAATATATTACGTATAATATATTTTTATTCAACAAGAAATATTGTGAATGACATCACAGACATTTACGTGTAGTTATTACTTATTAACACGTTAATGTTGTTATAGATCGAAGATCAAGTTTTAGAATCAGATATAGAATACTTTATATCCAAATTGTAGGATACATACTCTTACAATAAATTCGTGAAATTGGATGTTGCCCCCAGCTATCAATTTAAATTGATATTTTGTTTTGTTTTAACTATTGAAATATTTGTCTTGGCAGGAGACTTTAGAACTAGCTAATAAATACTAATTATTAGTTTGTAATTGTAATTAGGAAGTAAATAAAACTTGGCAATAACGTAGGGCAAGGATCTACCAGCAAAGGATTTAAGCGGAACCTCCGACCCTTACGTGCGTGTCACCCTTCTGCCGGACAAGAAGCATCGTTTGGAAACGAAGATCAAGCGTCGCACACTAAACCCACGCTGGAACGAGACCTTCTACTTTGAAGGGTTTCCAATACAGAAGCTGCAGAGTCGGGTAACTATTATCCATTTAAATAATAATATTAGTAAATTTTAATTTATTTAAGAGACTAGAAAAAATCTTACATCTTTTATATGTTTTTTACTTTTACTCTATCTTTCCATTAAACCTCAAAAAAAGTCTTCGAACCAGATTTTTTTTAAAGGATAGGGTGACAAACGAGCACACAGTCCACCTGATGGTAATTGGCTGCTGTGGCCCATAGACATCTACATCTATCGTCGTTTGCGAATCAAAATGCAGATGCGTTATCACCCGTGAGAACTAAGATGGATTGCCTCTTTTCCAGTAAAAAGGGTCTCCGGTTCTGTACACTCATCATACGAAACATAGCAGTGTTAAGCTGCTATTTTACGCTGGTATTCTGTGAGAGCGTGGTCCTTCCCCGGTCGAGCCGACCAATTCGTGCTACAACTATACTATTAATATAGCTTCAGCATGGCTCTACCACGTTTAATAATAAGTTCAAGTCAAACCAAAATAAGTTACGGCAACTTGTGTTAACTACTTATTGTGGGGTGTACGGAGAAAATTATCAACATTTTCTCTAAATGTCAACCACACCTGCACGCGGTGCGCTCTGCTAACCGCGTATGAGAGCCATTGGCCAATTGATGACGAAAAATGTGTCTTCAAGTATCAAACTCAAATTCTACTGCGATACTTTGAGATAAATATCCACGTATTTATCTCAAGGTATCGCAGTAGGATTTGGGTTCATTATCAGTGCGGGAGTACTTGCAAACTTTAATTCACCAAACCGCCTGCCTTATGGTGAATATAGGCTAATATTTTTAATGTAAATTTTTGGAAAGGTCTAAGTCCAGCAGTGGACTTAAAAGTACCAATTACTCGACTCCACGTCAGTAATTCAGATACTCTTTTACAACGAAATCTCAGAATATATTATACAAAATCTGATTTCCGCCAAGTTTACAAACTTTATTAAACAACCATTGTATAAAAAGGGTTATTATAATATTAAGCAATTTATGGATGGATAATAACCCCTGGGAATGACGTGATCGCTACCATGCTATTTCTAACTTTTTTTGTGTTGTTAATATTATTGCGTAACTTTCAGGATTGTAAATTGTTCTTTTTTTAAAAAAAAAAAGTTCCGTTGGTTTTGTTTGCTGGTATTTTCCGAACCAGTGGTGATTTAGGCATAAGATTGACTTTCAATAAATATTATCTATAATCTATATTGAATAAAAAAGTTTTTATTTCCATTTCTAAAAATGCTGACGTCAACGACACTAATCGTAATGACGACTAAGTTGTGACACGAACAACTTTAAAAATATTTTTTCTGATTTTCAGGTCTTACATCTGCACGTATTTGACTACGATCGATTCTCCAGGGATGACTCGATTGGAGAAGTATTTTTGCCACTTTGCCAGGTATATTTATTACATACATACTATCATTTCACGATAATCATACAAAATAATTAAAAAAATTAAAATTAAACTAATACTAAGCGCATGATAAAAATAACCCAATTCCAAAAAAAAATCTTCATTTTAAAGCTACTTTTTGCGAGCAGATTTTATTAATATATTTCTTGTTATCTTCTGCACTTTTATGGTATTTTTATGTAAAAATATCCTTTATTATTTATTTATCACGAATCGTATCTCAATACACCGTAAAGATAGAAGAAGAAGTTTACTAACACTTGTAATTTTTTAGAATTTGTTTCATATAAAAAAATGGTTTAATAGTATAGAAATATTATGATATAATTACTATAAATATAAATAAAGAAATGATCAGTATAATAAGACAGAAGCTATCACCTCCTTCATCATCAGCCTGTAAAAGTTTACTGCTCAATCCTTAAACTTGGTGGCGGATACAATGATGACAGGCGGATTGGTGGTCACAGTCCGAAAAGTATTTCGTCTCGTCTCTTAATTTTCTTTATTGAAACTTGAAAAAGCAGCATTGTAAACACTCCGCACCTACAGAATAATAGATTCAATCCACTTAACAAAGTGCTTAATGATTTCCATTTGAATAATACGGTTTCATTGAACTGAAGAGCAATGAATCAACCTTACAATAATTTTCCAGCACAAAATTAGAAGGACGGCTGAAAGCAAAACTTTTACTGGGTAATTTAATGGAAGCCCGTAGAATTTATTTTGCGTAAATTTCTCTTACAATTACAATTTCTACACCGCCTATTTGTTAAGCTAGGTATTTACTTTGTGTACCAGAAAATTAAGCGAAACAATCATTTAATTCTTATACCTAACTTATTATTATCGTGTAAATAAATTAACTAATTGTATTTGCATTCTTTTTTCTTTTATTTAATTTTTTTAAAATACGTACACTAAGATATTCTCCTGTATCCTGGAGGTAGATTACATACATAAATTGCACAAGGGCATACATCCAGACCCGGAACAATACTAATACTTGTTCTATGCGGGATTTAAACCTGAGGCCCTCAGCGCTGCAACTCATGCACTGCGCCACGAAGCCGTCAAAAATATTGTTTTGACTTCTTACATTTTAATTATAGCTAAATTGTTTTGCACTTTATCGTCAATACTAAAACATTCGTTTGGAAATTCAACTTATAATAGTTTTAATGTAACACAACATATTCTAAATTACACCATACATCGTTAACACACGGTGATAACGAAACAAATGCAATAAAAGTGATTCATTATTAAGTCCAAATGTTATTTAAATATCAAATGTTTATAAAAGTATGCAACCTTATAAATTATTTCAATTCACTGTAGTCGATCATTGTCTATGTTCGATCGTTAATTATTAGACGTTAAAAATTATGTTGACTTGACTTATTAGAATACTGCCAAATCACACCTCACAAAATTGGGATCTAGTTATTGCAATTTTGTTTACTTTGAAACTATACATTGTGAAGAGAGTATAAATGATTTATTGTTTACTACTGTTATTTATTTTTCTGTACACCAAAATTTATAAAAAAATGAGATATACTTTAAGAGAGCATGTGAGCTGCGTTTAGTCTATAATAAACTCTGTTTTCTCCCTGAATAATGATACTAGAACAATAGATTCTTCAAGATAAAATCTATGTCTACCACCGCCATTTTCAAATGTTTTTGTTTTTGAAAAAAAAAGTATGAACCGCCGTTAATAGACATTCAGCAAACAAATTTATGAAACATATTATAAATAAAAGAAAAACATACAAACATAGCCGCAATCCTTCTTATATCGTCCTGCAAATTCAAAAGTCAGTCAAAATAAAACTTCATATTATATTAAATTAATAATTTTTTAATTATGTAATTATTTATTAATTATTTTAATCAATTATTATTAAATTAATAGTAAACATCGTTCGTCCGACTAGCGTTAATTATTTAATTTGGAATCGTCAGTTTTCTCAATAATTTTATCTATGAATTATACGTGCGAGGCTAAGTTGCATAAATAATAATGATTTGAAATTAAATAAAATTTTTATCTTTGAATAGGTACTCCATTAAAAATGTATCGTAACACATTATATCGTAACAATATTTGTGTCAGTTCTAACCGGTTGACCACACCTTTCGGCATTATCAAAATTAACATTTTTGTATTTTTTAAAGGTGGATCTCAGTGAGAAGCCATCCTTCTGGAAAGCTCTAAAACCACCAGCTAAAGACAAATGTGGCGAACTGCTGACATCCCTCTGCTATCATCCAAGTAACAGTGTGCTCACATTGACGCTTTTGAAAGCTCGAAACCTAAAAGCCAAAGACATTAATGGAAAGTCAGGTAAAATAAACATTGAAAAGATATATTATAAGTACTGAACTAAGAAATCATAATTATTTAATAGAGTTGTTCATAACATTACATAAATAGGTCTTAGCATATCGCATCATTAGCCTTTTCTAAATTTACTGCATTTAACAAGGCTTTTCAAGAACTCACCACGATGAGCAGACGGATTGGCGAGTGCACAGTCCACAGCTGACACCGATACACTGCTCAGCATCAATCAGATTTTGATGAGCAAAAGAGAGTAATAGATTCGCTTACGCTGTCAGAGGAATCTTTTTTTTGTAACTAATAATATTTTCAAAAATTAAGATCAAAATTCAAAAAATAGATGCGAAATATTGTGGTCTAAGACACCTACACCTATCTTCGGTTTAGAACCAAAATGCATATGTGAAGTAAGCGTTTTATATATCCCTGGACTAATATGAAATGCCTCGTGACCATTTAAAAGGGTCTCCGGTTCTTGTTAACATAAGAAGCACTAACATTATGCTGTTATTTCGCTCTGGTATTCTGAGCGAGTGTGGTCCTTCCCCGACCAAGCAGACCTATTCGTACTGCGTTACAACGTGGCTCTACCCCTCCTTCGCTAACTGTTGTTAATGTAAACTGCGGTAATGTTATGTTACTGCCGGCTAGATATGCTTTCAACGTAACCCTTATTGTAGAAACGATCTGATATAAAAATATTAAAATAAAATAATCTTACAAATATAGAATACAACCTTAAAAATTCTTTTACTTTCAAGAAATTGCTGCTAACATTTCATTTGAGATTTTTATAATTTTAAAATACATTGAAAATAAATGCGATATTTTTATCCTATTTTTCCCTTATATCGTATTAATACATAGATTTTTTATTATGTATACTTATTTAAATATGATAATTAAATAAGTAAAATTTTTAATTATTTCATTTACACCAATAAGTAAATAGCCTATTTCAAATAATATTTTTTCAGAACCTAACTTTAATAATCTCATGAAATCCTACCCCACTTTCCATATTTATAGATTGCCAAGCCCTCCCCGCTGTATATAAATCAAGATACCATCTTAGATCAGGCACTCCCAATTAAACGAGTCTCATTTCGCGGTGAAACTGGACTATTTGAATTATTGCCTTTCCTTTTTAGGGATGGTCGTTGGAAAGGAATTTCAGTGTCCGTAATAAAAACAAGTTTAACGAATTTATTACTACTTTACTTTGCCTTTTCTATGCGATAAATTTTACTACTATCTAAAGTTATTTGGTAATAAGGACGCGTTTTTATTAGGCGATTGTGAACGCGTTCTGGTTGCGAAAGGTTTATAATGTCGTAAGGCGGATTCGGAGATCCGTTTCATTAGTCGAAATGGAAAAACTCCATAGTGAGGAAGACTTTTGAGCCAATAATATAAGACATATATTCATTAGTCTTTATTAAACGGCGATTGTATATTGTATGAGAATTGCCACCGCACTTTTTCTGTCGATTTCAGATAGATGCACAGACACCGTTACTACAGTATTGATCCAAGGCTTCAATCAGTCTTTCCCTTAACGTGTATCAACAACAATTTGGGTGATGTTGAGAATTGTGTAGATAAAGATACTGAATGAGAATTAAAGGTTCTTTTGACGATCCAAGAATATTTCTCTTCTGTTACTATGCTTGTAATATCCTGTCTAGTTAGTCTAATGATCGTAAGCGCGCCTACTAATCATGGGATCCCGGATTCAAATTTTGGGTCGGATCAAAATCAGTAATTGGATTTTTATGTTAAGAAATTCTCAGTACCAGCCCAGAGTCAAGCCGTTATTTCACCCCCGTGCCTCGGAAAGCTTAGTCCTGCTCTTGATTCCTCTTCGATCATGTCGGATTACCGTCCCATCGGACAATGAGAATGAGGAAATAGAGAGTGCGCGCTTGCGTGCACACTCGTTTTTATTATGTTGAGTCGTTATCAGGAGAATTCAGTTTCATTTCCCTCTATCATCTCTTACGACACCCATTGGATGAATTAGAGTAGTGATTCTTTCCCACATACTTTTACATATATTGCCATTTGTCAAAAGCCTTAACAAAATTCTGGCACTTACCAAATTCGCGTCTCACGACACCACATGACGAAGTGAGCATCACGTGGAGAAAAAATATAAAACTAAAAATTTTAATGAAGACCTGTCGATTACAAAATATATATAACTATCGACGGTTCTTCGAGTATCATAACTTTTGGGCACAATGAGACATCTAAAACAGATAGTAGACACTCCTGTGAATTTTGTACGCATGTTACCAATTGGATTAATCAACGTTGTCTAAATTGACAAGGAATGAAAGGTAAAGAAGAAAACGTCATCATCATCATCATTTATTCCTGTATTATTACAGCCTGTAGATTTTTAATTCAAAATATATGACATTCTCCATTAAAATGAAATAACTTATTATCTCTCATTTTCAGATCCGTACGTTAAGGTTTGGCTTCAGTTTGGTGACAAACGTATCGAGAAGCGCAAGACAGCTATCTTCAAGTGCACATTAAATCCCGTTTTCAACGATTCATTCTCATTTAATGTGCCATGGGAGAAGATCAGGGAATGTTCCCTTGATGTCCAAGTTATGGATTTTGACAATATTGGTCGTAATGAATTGATCGGGAGAATACTTTTGGCCGGTACGTAAGTTAACTAGCTAAATTTTAATGTTCTTTATATTGTCTGTGGTATTACGATCTAAGAATTATATTATTTTTGAATAAAGTTCTCAAAAGAACTATAAGCTTTTACAGTATAATATGGCTTCTCCAATTTGTCTTTCTTCAAAACATTTAGTTTAAAATCAAAATGTCATAACTAACAATAAAGTCATATATAACGAATTCTCGCTTATTTAGATACTTGAAAATATGAAAGCTACACAAAATATTTTATTATTGCCTTAATTTTTTATCTGATATAGACCAGTGCTTGACTACTACTTGCTCTGGTCATGTAACCGACTAAAAAGCACTGACTTAGCTTAACAAAAACCTTGCCTTGAAGGCACGCACATTATAATCGTATGGATGGATATACAGATACTTTGTTGTGCGTTTGACGAATCACGAAGCAAACCGATTAGTTCAAATGCGTAGTATATCAATAACAAAGAAGTAGAGACTGGCCGAGCGTCTGGTAGACCGATGGTAGACGGGAGAGAGGCATTAAGTCATGCAATTCCTGCGCACAATTTTCTGGCTGGATACTTCTAAGATTGGCTTTAACTAGATTCAGATTCCCAATAAGTTTCTGAGCAATTGCAGCTTTGGTTGCAATTGAAAACAAAATTGCAAGGTAGCATATATGACAGTAATACTCAAAGCACTACCGTACTTGCACTTTATATAATGTAAGCAGCAGTCCCGGCGTGAAGTACCGCTGCGCCTTTGCATAGCTGCTTTGGTCGTGGACTCCATAAACCGTCCAAAGTTCAGTTTCGAGAAAATCATAATTCCCAACCCGATGTATCCCAATGATAGGTACATATCAGAAAGAAGGAGTCAAGGCAAGCCGGCTCCGTTTTTTCTACCTCTCTTGGCTGCGATATAATGTACTCTGTGTTGGCTTTCTTACAGTTCTACTTAGATTTTTTTTTCAATTTACACTTCCTACCGTACTTTATCATTATTCTACTTACGCTATTTTACTTAGGTTTTCATTTTTGTTATTAAATATAGCCAAAAATATCCCATGTTCCATGTTCATGTGGAACATATAACAAGAAAGAATTTATCATCTGTATTACTTGCCTAGCATATCGTAAGAGGTGACTGATGAGATATTGGGTTTGTGATTGTGTAGGGCCTACATTGTAGGAGATAGGTGGCTAGCCTATCACATACAGTATAGGCGATCACTTCTTTCACTATGTTCCATCTAAACGTGGTCCAAGTAACTTGCTGTTTTATAACAAAATATACAAAATATTAATTTTTTATAAGATTTGAGTGACTAACGAGCGAACTGACCATGTATGCCGCCAGTGTAGCCCACGGAAATTTGCAGACAATTTTAAACAATAAAGGCTACAGATATTTTATCACCACTGACGACAGAGATGAAAATGCTTCATAACCTGTGATTATATTTATGCTCTTATACTTTAGCACTGATGCTTAGTGAATATTTGTTCTATTATCTATTCGTGGAAATGTTTTCTAAATTCCAGGTAAGAATGGCTCCGGAGCTACTGAAACTAAACACTGGCAAGATATGATTACAAAACCTCGACAAACCATCGTGCAGTGGCACCGTCTCAAACCAGAATAAGCCTATCGTTGTTCAAGAATAATTTTTTACCTGAAAAATTAAAACAAAACGTCATAAGACTGAACGGTTAACAAAAAAAAAATCAAAACAACACAGATAAAATCTTCTTCAGTCACTTTGTAATTTCTAAAGCTATGCATTCTTCCATCTCTAATATTCAATAATGTTAAAACATTTTGGGAATTAACATCAAAAAACCATTTTTGTGAGTTTGATTTCATCTTATCTTTATTTCAATGGCTGTATAACTTGTCATGAAGCCATAAAATTAAATCATAACTCAGTTTCAGTTTTGATGAACTAATACTATATAATATTATTATAATCTAAAAACATATAATATTATGTTAAAGTTCTACTGATATTGTGATTGACTGTATCACTCTAAATAACAAAAAAAAACTCGCAATTTTTTATAAAACACTGTTTTTTCAATTGGATGAATTTGAATAAAAAGATATAATAACTCTCAAACTTGTTAAGAATGGCTCTCGATATTCATATCTCAATTTTTAACAACTACCATTACATCTCTTGACGTTGTATTTTATTGTTTCGTTTCAGTAATTTAAAAACACGAAACGCACGCTAAAACTATGGACAAAATATGGATTGGTAAAAGAGAATTAATGCTAATTAAAACGTCAATCAACATTAAAAAGGTCAGGCTTGTACTACATTAGGTACATTACTACATGGTCTAGGAGCTAATAAAGTAATAAATAATAACATTAAAAGTTTTAAAAGGCAAAGTACCTACACTTGTGTTTCGAAATGTGTCGTTCCTACTTGCTCGTACCTACGACTCTCGTTAATGACATTAGTTGGCTTGTAAATTTCTAAGGTTTTAATTAAGTAATAATGCATAGTAAACAAATTGAAAATAACTTATTTTAGATACCTTATTAGAAATTATCTGAGAAAGGTTGAACTTTAAAGTTTAAACAGTCAAAAAATTCATTAGTTATTTTAAATTTGTTTTCTATGGATCATTTTAAATATACTTTTTTTTCTTCTGAGACTATATAAATTATTAATGTTTTATTAAAAAGTTGAATGATCGATGTTAAGGTTATGAAATATTAGAAATATAAAATTAGATTATTATTGTTAAATTGTAGTAAAATATCGAAAAAAAGTCGAGTTCACATCGCACAAAGAGTGTAGAGATTTATGTTTAAATTGTAATGTTATTATAAAATATAATATATTTCTGCATTTATACCCAATTCTGAATAAAATTACTACTCTTTTAGACTTTGATGATGTTGCTCAGACCCGCATTTTACTGAAAAATGATTACGAATTATTATTATTTTTTGCTAACAAAATTCATGCGATATCCAATATAATATAAGTAAAACTGCCAAAACTATTTAAATAAACAAACTGAAGCATGGACATTGAGCATGTATAAAAGATTCTAAATTTAATAATAAATAAGGCGGCGGAGCAAGTAAGTGATTGGTCAATTTTAGGAAAATGTATTACCGTAACATTAAACGGTTACAGTAACTTACGTGGGACATAGTTAATTCATATTTTTATTATTTTTGATAAAGCAAACAAGAACCTGTCACGATGATTTATTATGTCGAATAAATATTAACGCATAAATGGTCGTTTAAAATATTAATGTTAATAAATTGCTTGTTGTTACATGTTATTAAGCTTACTCCGTAAAGTAATTAGTTTTGATGTTGACATTGACGACTAAATTAATCATTATTGATAAAAATTATATACATTTATAAAGGTTTTTAGAGACATGTGGAATATTTTATAGATACGTACCTATCTACATACCGAGTAGCTTGTTATTGTAGGTGTTAGCCAGTTCGGTGTTCACGTATATTAGTTGCGAAGGTGATATTGAATGTTAAAAAATACAGTCTCCAAAATAAAAGTAAAATAGCAACTCATCTACAACCGAGCTTCAAAACGCAAATTTAGATGTTGGTTTAAAAATAAAACAGGTCAAACTTAAAAATAGTTGAACGTAGAAATAAACATTTAAATAGCAAAATTGGTTGCATTGATACATAATTGAAAGCCAAATTTACTAGGTTTGCTATGTGTAATCTTTAAGAAAGGTGAGACTGCGTCAGCAGTGGACTAAGCAAACTATCTAACAATCAAGTTTTTGAGCCTGACCAAAATTAACGCTAATTTGGAATTCAATTATTACGGGATAGCAATCGTATGGAATAATTATCGGTGCAATCGATTTCCTTTTAGAAATTCGATAGATTGATGTATTTTAGTCAACCAGCTCCAGTTATCTAGTTCAAATAGAGAGTGACGGCTTGGGCATGTTGATGTTGTAATAGTTGAAACTTACAAATATGATAGGTAATTTAAACAGTTCTCTTGTTTAAAAAAAGCTGAAAGTATATTTTTTACCATCGGGTTTTTGAACGCGAGAGAAAATTTATTTTACAAGTACTAACTTGAACTAAAATAGGGAAAAACCAATATCCTCTTAAAGCTTCTTCATTATTTTTGCTACGCATTTTAAAAACATTATTTTAATTCTACATGTCCGCTAACGCTTGGTTAGTTGTAAGCTATCATAACAAGTTTAATTATAATTTTCACGTAATAAAATTTTATCAAAGCATATCCTCGGTAGAAGCGTAAATTAAAAATTTGTAATTATAAAAGAAAGGTCAAAATGAGAGGAATTATTCTATAAATGTATATAAAATAGTAATATTTTCATGCAAATTTAAGATCGCTTCATTTCCTTCGTGAGGTTTTATTTATATTATTAAATATTAAAATCAATGTAATTTAATTTAATCTTCCGTGTAATCTACCTCCATGATCTGTAATTGATATTTTGCAATTTTTGCAATTAACAAGAAAATAAAATTTTGTTTAGGGTTTTCGTCTTGAATTTTTGTGATATACAATTTCATTACATATCAAGTTTATTTGGTTCCGAATACGCCTTAAGGAGAATATATTTTAATGAAATAAATATTTTGTGAGATGCATATATTTTGTCTCATACATAGTTATTTTTTCTAACAATAAAACTACAACATTTGTATCGTTTATAAGTCTATACTTATCTATCAAAATTTGTTTTGAGTCAATGAACACAATTTTGAATCTTTTAAATAGAACCTTTGATATTTTTTTCTATTGCTTAGAAAAGGAATAGCGAAAAGATTTATTTTTAATTGTAAATCTTTTGCTGGCCGTTTATTTATAATTTTTTAACGACTTTTATCAGATATATTCCGCTCAACAATGTAACTTGTAATCGCGATCGATGTCTATTTTGTGCAATATAATAATTATTGTATTAAATGTTAACATTAGGTGAATTGTGATTCTAACAGTATAGCTGGTTATTTTAACGTATAGTTAAATTAATAACTTTTTAAAATATAATATGTAATATCACATACCGATAAGAAATCAGTGTTTAGATGATAGATGAAAGTTATAAAAATGTATTTATAGATTGTTACATTAAAATATATTAGCTTTCTTTGCTTTTAAAGCTATTATTACACGTGTTGATGTTGTTCATATAACACTTTGATTTCTACAGTTTTCTTAAGATGGAGGCTATGAGTAATATATTTTATTATGTAGGTAGTAAAATAAGTTAACCAAGTTTAAAGTGTAATTCAAGATTTCAAAATTAATAACATACTCTGTGAATTTTTTTAAAACATTTTTTTTAAATATCTCCTATAAGTCTTATATTATGCGGTACATACTTCTGTCTTATAATATCAATCAATTTTTCTTTATTGTGTAGGTAACTGTAAGTTTCTATCATACTTGTATTTCAAATGTTGAAATCTTACTGTATTGTATATTTGTGACATTAATTATTCCCAAATAAAGTATTGAGTTAAATAAAGACTTCATTATTTCTCTTATTAATTTATTAAATAAGGATAAAAATCAAATACCATGCTTAGAAATTTTGTATTTTTTATTGAATAACTTCTATTATTTTATGTATCAATATCACAAACATTATCTTATAATAGGCAGGTAATCGAGTAAAAAAGCCGATTAACTTCTAAAAATCGACAATCATATACAAAATAGTATTCTGTACTTACATTCATTTTATATGAAAACAAACGCACTCTATTCATCTCGAACAATAAAAAAATAGTTGTCATGGCTCATGGCATAAAGGGCAGGAAATGGGAAGTGGGCTTTTGAATTTGGAACACCATATTGTTTTCATTGTTAGTCATTCGTGGTAAACATGAAAATGTTTAGAAAGTGAGCACTGTTATTAGCTGTAATCTGAACATTGATTTATCGGTGATTTATATACGTTATTTTGAGACCAAATTATTTCTTTTAAAGAAATAGATATACGGTCACCTTGAAAATAAAAACTCGCCTTAATTCAAATTTAGAACTGTCAAACTTCTCAAGGTGTCTTAAAATTTTGCGCCTAACCTAATTTATTTCTACATTGGATTAATTTAAGCTGCTTTAGGCTTCTCTCCTTCCTTCTTCTCCTCTTCAGGGGGTGGTGTAGGGAGTTCGGGATACTCCAATTTCACACCATCTTCACAGGTAAAGATTGGACAGCAGAGAGGGAACGCCGCAGTCTTGTTTGTCTTTTCTGTAATATTAAATTTAAAATTAAATAGTATAAATATAGTTAGACGCCCAATAAATAGGCCAAGAAATAAATATGTTACATCATAAGCGGTTTTGAATTGACATGATGGAATTTAATAAAACATTAAGACATTCATTTGTCAACATAAAATTTCAATATTGTTTATTTATAAGTACTTCATTGCTATAATAGTATCCTTTTATTTTAAATAATCTTAAAAATTAGAACTGTCAAATTAATTTTTAAAAAAACTTTCTAATTGTATTCAGTATACAACACATCCTGTGTATTATTTTAAAAATACAAGCTATTTATGAAAGCGCATTATAAACGCTCCACTTTGATAAATTTCGTTTTTGCTGCCCCTGCCCAAATAGGAATGCAGAACACTTAAAGAGACTGCACCATATCAATATAAATTTGGTTTAAAATGTTCTTTGGTGAATGTGGATTTTGAGCCATACTTCCTGGAACCAGATATCTCAGTGCTCTGAAGATCAAGTACAATCTACTAACCCTGGCTACAACTTGTTCGTATTGAAGATACCAAGGCAATATCTGATCTAATACCATACCTATTTATTTAGTTTATTAAGTTTTAGGCATTTGCAATACATCATCGTCATCATCATGATTACAGACCTTCACAAGTCCACTGCTGAATATAGGCCTCCCGCAACGAATGTCACTCTATGTTTGGTGTTGATACATGTTTCGAAGAGCTGGATTAGCTACTTACATCATCAGATTTTTAAAAACCATCAACTCACCAGTGTCAAGTTTGCACTTGGGGTTGGCAAGAGGTAAAGGACCGCAGTCCTCAACCAGCTCAAGCAGCCTTGGGGGCGTGTCTTCGCTCACGACGCATGTGCTGCGACCGCAGAAAGGTGCCAGATCCCAGCTGTTGCCAGGTTCCACTGTTGCGCAGCGAGTTGAAGCGAAGCACAAGCCGGGGAAGTCTGCGAAAGAATATTTTGTTTTTTATAAAACTCTTATTATCTTGTGTATTATGAGACTTTATCATTGAGCATTAAGTATTGATTTATGCTAAAAAGGAATTTTATAACTATTAATTAATCTTGCAAAAAAAATACGTTTTTTAGTTTAGTTTAACGTTGTCCGGATATAAAAAAAAGTAAATTTGAACGGCGTATTACCCAAAGTGACATTATTTGCTTAACTAGGAAGTATTGGTGATATTAGTTTCGAACTCAATACTCGCAAGTAAAAGGCAACTTTCTAAACCCTCTTTCGTAAAGTAAGTGTGAACAGTTTCTAATATACGCCAACGTCCCTTTTTATCTTTCCACATTTTTTAAAATATCAATGGCTGTATTTTAGCCATTTTTAAATTAAAAAGTAGCATATTATTATTTCTTAAAACATTTCAAATTTAATAATATGTAATCACTTAATTTTTAGAATTATAATTCAAAAACTAGATTAATGAAACAAATATTACGTATAATTTCTTCATAGAAAACTTATTGAAATTCAAATGTAGCAGAATACGGAATACAACGATAGATTAAACACTAAAATATTTACCTTGTACGCATTTACATACACTTCAAAAATTTACTGACTATGGTTGACCAGGTCAAGAGGAAGAACAAACAAGAAGAGTACCAATAGGTTTGTTTATACTTCCATGCACAAAGTAGTATATATGGCGTACTTAATGCCATAGGGCATTCTCTCCCATTCAGCCATTAGGCTAAACAGATACCATATAATTGTAAAAGAAATATTAGTGCCAACACAATACCAGGGAGACATAATGGTATATGCGAATAATTAACTCCGGTGCTAAACGAGTATGTAGTGTCAGTGATAAAAGTCGAGAGCTAGAGAAAATTGCATGTGAAAGGCAAATTATAACGAGCCAAAAGATCGCATGTACCACAAACATCATGTAGATCATGTAAACTTGTAACAAATTTTATAAATAATTGTTGTAAGTTCAATTAAACGATCGATGTGATAAGCTGATCCAGTTTCTGAGAAACATTAAAGCAGTCAACCTTGCTCCAGCTATTTATAAATAAATGTTAAATACAAAGCATAAATATAAAAAGGCATATAACTATAAAACAATGCAAAACTAAATGCTTATATTATTACTGTTTGAGAACCTAAATTTTCTAGATGATATTAATTTTGAACTTAATTAGATTTCTGATGGTATCCTTGAGTTAAACAAGTTTAGATCTATCTATATCAAATGTTTAATTGATTTAAATGTGAAGCATAGTTATCAAAAGAAGTTCTGTAATCTGAAAAAGATTTTAACGTTAATTTTATATCCATCACATAAATTTAATGCGCAGTACTTATGGACTAAACACATTCATAAAGCTTTTAAACATTGAATGCAGCTAAATGTGGCTCAGGGCCATCCGGGCAAAACTTAGCAAATCACCGGTCGTTTTAGCATTAATGCCATATTGTTCTACATTGTGATCGTGATGTAACAATAACGAAATCCGTGTTATGTATTGAATTATGTCGTATGCTCTTTTGATGCAGAAAGTATGCCGATATAAAGAGCAGCTGTCGAGTGTGTGCAAAAAAATTGTCCGTGGGTGTCAAGAGAGTTGCTTGCTGTGTAAAATTATTGCGAAATGCAGTTGGGTGAACGCACGGCGTCGGTTTCTACGTCCAATCCTTTCATTTAATAATCATTATTTTTATATATGTAATGTTTAGTATATTCGATATCCTTTTATTCTTATTTACCCTTAATCTTTTAAAAGCTAGCGCTGTCTAACGTCTGTTCGAATTATCATCACAATAAATAACAACGCTATGAACCTAATTAAAAATATTGTACATTGTTATGAAAGGTGTCTAGAATTAAATCTACATTTTGACTTATAGCCAACGACAGAGAACTACGATTGAATGCCTCGTCACTAATAAAAAGTCCACGGTACTTGGCACTATTAGTACCACAGCAGATTTTACCGCTGCCTGTATTTTGAGAGAGCGTGGTTCTTGCTCGGTGAGCTGACTCATTCGTGCTGCAGCAACACGTTGCACGCATGGCTCAACCGCGTACACACATACTCGTCTTTTAAAGTAGACGTGTCACAGTATCCGTCTCAGTAAACGAATAAGTTACATAAAGTTTTAATATTTACAACGAACGAAGCTTGTAGCCTCATTAAAACGGGAGAGACCTGGCTGATGAAGAAAATGATAAAATCTTCCAGCGGTTGACTTTTCGTAAAAGCAATAACATAGATGTTTTGAACTAATTGTGTAATAATGAAAGATTTTGTTCAGTCTGCATTATTGTTTGATTTTGACTTTCATATTTACTCCAAAGTGTTCTAACTAGGTGTTAGAACTCCTCATCTGCTCAGGTCTATCGGAGTAGCCTTTAGTCTTTAGATAAACATTATAGGTTTTAAAGAAAAATAGTGACAAGCGGTAAAATTAAAAATTTTGTACAACCGACTTCAATATAAATTATTAAGGATAACTCAAAAGCTATTGGTCAGATCTTGATCAAATAATGTAATAACTTTCAAATAAAAAAAAGAATCATCGAAATCGATTCACTAAAAAGTTATGAGGTACACATAAAAACAACATACAGTCGAAGTGAGTACCTCTTCCTTTTTTTAGTTGTAAGCTACTAAAAGTAACAAATTCAAGTTAGTATGTTGATGTAGTAATTTATTAATGGTAGTGTCAACTCCCAATTATGTCTACTGTTAATTAGAGATAGAGATTTCGAATAGCTTGCTCATGCATTTATGGAAAATAAGGAGTGGCGCATGTATATCGCTATTGCATTAAACCAAGGTGTGCTATAGTGCTAACAGATGCAGTTACCATATATACTGAATGAAGCAGTACTGTATGCAGTACCTATGCTTTTTAACATTAAGCAAGATTTTTCAAATAAACTGGAAGTAAATGGCATATTTAGCAACTCTTTCGAATAGTGATAATTATGAATTTCACAAATGCGTTTATATTCATTTAAAAAAAATTCTTTCACAAGTTTTAATGTCTCCATCATTCTAATGAAACAAAAGAATGCAAAAATATTGACAATGAGTCGCCATTTTTAAATTAAAATTTTTTTATTTGTTTTTTATGTAATTTTGTACTAATGTTTCTTATATTATTACTTTGCACATCCATATGCACTTCGGCCTACGCTCTCCAACTCGTCTTTGCTGTGGTTTGTCCATAAGGTACAGCCTACCAAAAGTCAACTTTCAGTAGTCATAGGCCTCCCCATAGATTGCCCCATAAGGGAGATATTTGCTATAGCTGTAACGCTTGGCAGGCGGGTGGCAACGGCAGTTATTTTTAGTTGTTCTGTAGAACCATGCTGCAGCTATATTATTGGTATAGTTGTAGCACGAATGGGCGGCTCGACCGGTGAAGGACCACGCTCTCACAGAATACCAACGTAAAATAACAACTTAACACTGCTGTGTTTCATATTGTGAGTGTAGAGAACTGGAGATGCTTTTAACTGGAAAAGAGGCATTCCATCTTAGTCGTCACGGGTGACAACGCATCTGCATTTTGATTCTTTATTGAGGATAGATGTGGATGTCTATGAGTCAGAGCAACCACTTACCATCAGGTGGACTGTGTGCTCGTTTGTAACCCTATCCTATAAAAAAAAGGAAGACACTGCTGCCCATCTCCTAGTTTGTCTCCCTCTTTTGCCTCTTACGACACCCACGAGGCGATATTGGGTAGTGGATATTCTTTCACCGCCACTTCAAGGTACTCACGGCCAGATGTCATCCTGGACGCCTGCAACCAACTTCAAAGAAGACTACACATGCGTAGTCACCTCTGCAGACTAAAATTTAATATCTCAACCTGTAATAATACTGGCTCTCTATATCATTCAGGCTCAGAAGGGCTAGAACCCAGAGCCGTAAAGCCAGTTAAAAAAATTATATCATTCAGGTTCAGGACGACACACTGTAGTGCACGCATTGCTATTTAGAAGCAGAAATACGTGAGCGTGATCCTAACAGAGAAGGAATCCTACCGCCGAGTGTACTACCATCTATACACCTAGCTTTTTTGATCGTCTACTCTTTATGGAAAATCAAGGTTGCCATTCGAGGTTGTCCTTGCTACAAAATCTTATAGGTACCATTTTTCATACTCAGTTTTTTAACTCTCTAAGTGAAACTCGAAAAATACCCCTTCACATAATGCGTCTTACAAAAGAATATATTTTAATCGTTGAAGTATAATGTACTTACGTACGTAGTATGTACATAATACTTTAATGATTTTAACCTACATTGTGAAGTTATTTCATTTGTATAAGCTATACGTGTTAAGCATTACATAAATTAATATTTGTTTTGAGGTTTTATGACTCGTTACTTAACAAATTAGATCTTGCATGTTAAAATATTACCTAATTACGAAATATTAATTAGCGCAGAAAACTTGAATGAATAAAACGTGGTCTAATCTTGCATAATATTACGTTAAAGTGGATTAAATTATGTTAGTACTACTTACCTATAGCTGTTTGGTATTAATAACAACGGATAATTTTCTAAAATCCTACTACTTATGTCTATAATATTTTTGTGACCTGCTGATTAAAATCGCAGCGGTTCCTTTAGCTGCATCTATAATTCGATATCTGTGTAGTGCCGCAGATATTTACGCATACCAAAAAGCACCGCACAACGTTCGAATTATGCGTGCATGCAAAATATTCCTAAGATATTCTCATTTTATCCATTTATTCTTAAATCCACTAATCTATATCATTTCGTTAGTGTCGTAAGAGACTATAAAGGAAAACAGAAACAGGAGATGGGCAGCAGAATATTTTTAATAACAACTCGAAATCCCACAGAAAAGATAAAATACACAAATAAGTTTTTTTTTTTATATAGTATAGGGTGATAAACGAGCACACAGTCCACCTGATGGTAAGTGGTTGCTGTGG